GAAGAAAAAGATAGATTCTCAAGAATTCAATTAAACTACAGATAATTCATCGGTATGCTTAATTGAAGAACGTAGTTCGCATCACAAAGCATTAAGTTAAGAACTTAGATGTGAACTGGTTTTTTTGATAAAAAAAAATTAAACTCTTACACTACACAATGTTTGGAAAAATTCCAATCATAGTCAAACAACTTTATAATCTATTTTATTCGTTATTCTAACTTCTATCATTTTTTTTATAATTTTTCTACCGAAGCTATGGGAATTTGGACCTGACTTACGTACAAGATATATGAAATAAATTGGTTCTAGAAGCAAGGAGCCTGGATGGCTCGTAAAGACTAAAAATAAAAAAATGGATCTACCGCAAGTTATTTATAATGATTTTTTTATATATATATAATTATTTTTAATGAATTCAGATTTTATTTGAAATAGTTGAATTTAATAAAAATTGAATTCAAGGTAGTCCCTCAATCTAATTTACATAAAATTGTTTATGGAAATTTTATGTTATTAAACAATTATATCAATAGATTTTATTATTTTTCGCATACTCAGTAAAACGTGTTTTTTAGCATTACAAGTTATAATTTATAACATAGGCAATAAATAGGTAGGTAGTCAAAGAGTTTTTGTAACAAGTATTATCGAGCTGAAAATAAACACTTGACTCGTTGATCACCGTTACATTTAAATTCTATAATGTATGATCAATGAGCATAAACATGTTCTGACATTATTACAAAATTGTAAATTGAATTCCGATTATGAAATGAATATAATAAGTACATACCAAAAAGAATTAAGTACACTTTTAGCATTTCAAAATGAGCAAAATAAAAATTGTATACCACACATGTAAAGACTATAAAAAATAAAAATAAAACGAAGTAATCGAATGTGAAATGTTAGATAGGTATAATTATACTTAGTATTATTCATTACATGTTAATCACTGCAATTTGCATAATTTAAGATATGCGTAGGTGTTGATATTATAATAAATGTTAAATAACGGTAAGAAAGCACATTTAAAAACAAAAAAAACAAATCCAACTGTTCATGTTATGATGAAAGCTTAATATTTATGTAGGAATGGATTTGAAAAATGTTTGATGTGACGTCAAGGCCTAGAATACCGTCCGGTATTGGTAACGGATCAGTCATATATTTCATCGAATAATAGAACACCATATTAATATAATATCGCTATGCCTTAGTGGTTATTATATCAGTTGAACTATTTCTAGTAAGGGTGCACACTAGTATAAGTATATTTTAGTATTAATATGTTAACGGTTACTGTATACACACTATCGAGTTACATAAAAATCTATATAAACGTAATAGTTTTATTAAAAGAACAAGCGAATTGTGATAAAATTACATTTAAAATTTAAATCTAGTAGGTGACTCATGAAATTAAACGAATAAGAATATTAATCTCGAACAATAATTAAACGAATTTGTGCGGTTTATTTAAAAGCGCTCGAAATCCTGTTAACTAAAATGTATCCTTCTTTACTTTTGGCTTTCCATCACAATCATATTAGACGCAGTCATCTTTGATCACCAACAACTTATTGCTCGCACAAGCCGACTGTAACGAGTACGTATATATGATATACATACATATATTTTTAAATATTTTCCCCGTCCTTTGATTTTTATCGGTAATGTACTTTTCGTAAATTATTAGAAAATTGTAAAACCTTATTTATTCAAAATGCATAAATGTTATCGCGTTAACATCATCTATGTAGACATTTAAGATGTGTTAGTTTGGTAAACTAATTTATAATAAATCATTATATTACGAGTAAACAAATAATAAATATTATTATACAATAATAATGTATTAATTTAAAGTAAACGTCCATAAAAGTAAACTTTTTGGTATTACACTTACGAAGAATGATAACTAAACGATGGAACTGTCATAGATTTTATTTTTTTTAAATATTTTCGATACTCTTAAAAAAATATGATGTGTAGACTTAGGAGTCGTACTATACTAATTTTGATATTTGGTTAGTTCGACCGGTTTTAATACGATCTTATTTCTGGCTTTCAAAATAGATGTGCATAAATATAAATATGGACTTGAATAATGTAACAACTAATCAAACTAATAAAAAAAATTTCCTTGACCAAATTTATTTTTAAATTATACTCAGTCGAAACAAATAAATCTTCATAATTCAATATATTTTGTACATACACATGTTTATCCATTTTAATGTTAATATTCACTATTTAGCTTGGAAAAAGATTATCTATTAAGACGATTAAAATTTTGAAAATCGAAATCACTATTTGTATAATCTTAAGTTATTATTATTAGTTGTCTTATTGATATTCTTAGCATCAATTCATAATAAATGTATATAATTATAATACAACATATATAATATATATATATATATAGTATATTACTTGTTAACTATAATACAACATAGCAAGTTATATACTCAGAACATTTATTATATTTGTAGTCTTCGGATACAAATACTACACTTCATTAACTAAATTATTTAAATATTGAACACGATTCAAGTTTACGTCAAATATAAGGAATTTATGATTACCTACAGAAAAGATGAAATAATTTCATGTCTAAGAATATTGTCGATTTTATATTTTCTAAAGAAGAATATTTTTTCAGGATACCCGTAAATGTCAAATTAAATAGAGTATGTAGATTTTTTTTTAATGATAACAGTATAATTGTGATTAATATGTGTGAATAATCCACATGGACTTCTTTTTTTCAAAATTCGAAAAATGAAAGACGAAATTAATTAAATAAAATGTATTTATATGTAAATTTAATGTTAATTTTTAATGGTCGACGTCGGTGTGGTACCACACATATATTAGTATACCATTATTTGATAATGTATAATATTGTAATAATATGTAAGTATTTTTATAATTGATTTCTAACCAAGGTTGCCCAAGTTCTAGTTATTGTTTTTACAGAGTTCAATAAAAATTATTGGAAGTTATTTTATGACATAATCAGTGAGATTTTAAGAAGTTATAATTATTAAATTTATTTTTTTTTTTTGTTAACTCATAAAGCAATACTTATATAATAATATAAATGTTTGCGTTATAGTTAAAAAATTATAAAATATTTTACCATAAATATATTTACTCTTTAATATGTAAATTTGTAAATGTAATATGTAAATATATTTATAACTTTACAACAAGCTTGTCGTTGATTTTTTTTTACCAGAAATAATATCACTCTAAAATAATAACTTGAATGTTTAATTTACATTGTGCCAAAAATGCGTAAAATATAATGAATGAAGCAATAACATTGGATATTAAATTGGGTTGGATAATAATTTTAATTATTTAGTTACTAGGTATTCACTAACATTAAAATAAACTGAATTTTTTAATATAACAAAAATTAAAATAAATGTGATTTTGGAAGAATATAAAAAAAAAACATTCCGACTAAACTTGTTATTAAGGACTTGTTTCGGTTTCCTAATTGTGCAGAAAGATAATTATGTTTACGAGTATTACGGAATGATTATTCAATTTAAAGTAAATTAATTATAATTGAAAATTTAATTTACCGAAGAGTAATCTAGTTAAGCCGACAAAATTAATGTTTGTTGCGTGTGTTTTTATTTTAATTTAGTATTTATGAATTTAAGGTTAAGTTATGTAATGAAATAAAAATAAGAATGTAAAATTATCTCATATAATACACCGCTTATGTTGTATTTCTAATAAATTTAAATAAGTCGATGGTTTTTGTCAATGGATTTAGCCTTTAGACTTGAATTGAACTTTATGATAATACACTTAAAGCAGTATTATATGAACCCAAAAACTCACATCACATAGAGAAGACATTATAGACATATATTAGCTCTACTCACATGAGTTAATAATGAATTACACGTGAACTTATTTAACACTTTTTGATTCTCGCATCCAGTATAAAGTTGATTTAATTAAATTTTTTAAAAATATTTCACTTAATTTTACAACAGACATATCAAACCATAAGTAAATTTAAATAAATATTTTTTAATATTGTAAATAAAAACACATCAATAAGTTTTAGTTGGTCTAAGTGAAACGTAACAAAATTGATTCTTATTAAAAACGTAAATATGAACAGTTTGAAAATATTCCTTGAGCGTTCTATTGAAAACATATAGTAAAATCTTTTATAGAATCGATATTGAAAATACGGACAAATCACATCATTTATCTGATCACAATACAATAAAGGCCGGATCGTAATAGTCCGATACTATTTTTAAGCAATTCAAAATCCACCCCAAGCCAAAAAGAGCCGAACAGTAATTTGTTTTCACATAACGATTATGTTTTATTTGAGATAGCAAAAGGTAATTGTCGTACGCGTATTTAAGACAAAAAGTAATAACACTCACAGATCATAGATTATATGTATATATGTTTAGATGTAAAAGCAAACATTTGGTTTTGAGAAACAACCTCCAGCAATATTGAACAAAATCGGAACGAATATTGTTTAATATTTTGCGGTAAATGGCGTACAACTATCGTACGTGTTCTTCTACCTCACAGAAACGATGAGGAATAAACGCAAAACGATAGCAAGTGAATCGGACGAGTACGCGTACCTACGCCTGCAAACACGTGAAAGGGGATATGGTTGGTTCTTGAAGGTCGACGAGGCCACCGATCCTTCGGAGTCCATAGTTGTGCACCCTTGACTTAGCGCAAACAACCGGTTTAGCCACGAGATGAGCGAAAAAACGCGAGTGAAAAAAAAAAAAATTCTTACGTATATGTTTATAATACACGTACACGAAAGAAAGAAAAAAAAAATCATAATAAAAGAAAACAAATGTGAACGAATATCAACGGTTTATCGGTGGGAGGAGCGCGTTGTGTTATAGAGTTTGAGAAGAAAAAAAAATTCTCCCATTCCGGATTACTGGTTTTTGACCGTAGTTTTGCTGGATACCGTCCAAGAAGAAGCGCAGGTATATATAGTAAAGGCTGGTGCACAACAAGGTATCCAGTTAATCCGTCGCTGGACTGAAGCGAACAAACCACCAACATGGCTCGAAGTGCTATGGTAAGACTGAACATTTTTTGATTTTTATTCCGTTTTTTTTTCCTACACCTCTAAAAACATTTCGATAAATATAATTCGTTTTATCCGATTCGACTGATCTTTTTTTTTTCGTAAAAATATTAAACAGAACAATAATAATACTCGACATAAATTATGAAATGTATTCTAAAAGTACATATATCGCTTTGTTCGCGCACTGTTTACCAATGTACACTTTGCAGCAAGCACTAATTTATAAATTCAAAAAATATTTCTATATTTATATTTATAAATAAAATTAAAGTTTTTATTAATACTGTCAATTATCGACGGTCACTAATTATGATTGTTACTCAAAAATTTACTGAAAAGTTTGTTTGTTTCACTAGGTACTATGATAAATAATAATTTATAATACTTTAATCATCTTATTGGTTATTTTCAATATCATATTTATACTTATTTTTAAATTATTATAAAAACGAGAGTCTACTTTAGATTATGCACACATAACATTTCGTTAAAATATTATTATAATTTCAAATAAGTTATTCATAATTTTATTTGGTAATTTGGTAATTAAAAATTGTTTTGATTACATGGTGTATTTTATTATTTTTATAAATATTAAATACTATTAATTTATTTAATTTTTTTTTTATTTCATTGTCATAAGGATAATTTATTTTTTCACGAATGTATTTATAAAAAGCATAATTAAATAATTTTAGTTGTGTTTTTTAACTAGAATAAGTTAAACTTTTTTGAAATAATATTTTTAACTTACCAAAAAAACAATTTTAACGATAAACGAACTCAAGTATTAAACACATTTTAAATTAGTAATTATGATTCCTAAAGTGTTACAATTATGAGAATTCTTTTTCTTGCTCAAATTATAAAAATATTTATATATAGAATATATTGGACTTAAATTAAAATATGCTACTATCGGTAAAATACCTATTGATTATATTGATTCCATAAATAATAATTGAAATATGAACAGAGTTAGTATTAAACTATTTAATAGTTAGTTATTAATTTTAATATTATAATACAGTTTACTTTTTAAATTTTGAATTGAAATTTTTATTGTATACCATGTACGATTTTAATAATAAAATTTGATATTTCTTAAAAAAAATATCTAAGTATCAAAATAAATAATATACATAATATAAACAAATAATGTATAAATAGAAATAAATAAATTTTTTGTCTAAAATGCTTAGTCGCGATTTCATTGAATTTGTATCCAATTGATGATACATTTTTAATACGAAACCGGACGTACTTTATAAATATAATAATACTCTAGGATATTAATTTATTTATCTCTATATGTAAGCTACTTGTTTATTTATTTATATACTAATTTACGAATATTAACCATTTACTAATTTAATTTACTTAATTTAATTTTTGATTATTTAACTATCAAATAAACATTTGATTTCTATTAATAATAATTTAATAACTTTTTTTTTCAGATTCAAGCTGCTTTTCTAGGACTCTTAGTAGTGTCAACTGCATTTGCAGAAGACAAGACTCCTAGCAACAATGAAAAAAGGGACTCCATCAAAGCGAAAAGCTTTGGTGGTTTCTCATCAGCTTCTGAGAAGGCCAATTTCCCTTTCTCTAACCCATTTGCATTTGGTGCCAAGTCTTTTGTTTCATCTACTCCAGCTCCATTTGCATTCGACAGTTCGTTCTCAACGACTGCCGCTCCGTTCAAATCTATATCTTACAGCTCTTCGTCTCCATTTTCCTTTGGTAACGGATTATCATCAAGTGCTTACTCCAATGCTGCTGCTGCCCAATCTTTCGACGGAGCTTTCGTATCGTCTTCTCCAGCATCCTTCATTGGATCTTCCACACCAGCCCCAGCTTTCGACGGAGCTTTCGCTTCTTCTTCACCCGCTGACTTAATTGGATCCTCAACCCCATCGCCTCTGTTGTCCGGTGCTGCTGTGTCTGACGCAGGTTTCGCATACTCATCTACTCCATCAGTCTTATTGGGAGGTTCTTCCCCTGTTGTGTCGTCCACTCCAGAACCAGTGGTCTTAAACCGTTCACCGGCTTTCGCTACCTCATACGGTTCACACTTCTCTGCATACGCCCCGGCATACGCACAGGGAGTTGTCACCAAGTCCGAACAAATCAGCCATGACGCCATCGAAGTAGGTGCCGTACAATCTAGCGCTCCTGCACCGCACCACGAAGTTACCATTACCAAAGAAGTTCCAGTGCCGTACTACGTCCAAGTTGAGAAGAGAGTGCCGTACCCCGTGTTGGTCCGCGTACCACACCCGTACCCCGTCACGGTAGAAAAGCATGTGCCATACGCCGTCAAGGTCAATGTGGACCGTCCAGTTCATGTTCCACAACCGTACCCAGTAGAAATTGAGAAGAGAGTACCGTACCCAGTTGAGAAACCTGTACCGTACGAAGTGAAAGTCCCAGTCGACAGGCCATACCCAGTACACGTACCAGTTGAGAAACCAGTCCCGTACGCAGTAGAAAAGCCAGTGCCGTACCCAGTTAGAGTAAACGTTGACAGACCATACCCCGTAGAAAAACCAGTGCCGTACCCAGTCACGGTTGAAAAGGCAGTGCCTTACCCAGTAGAAAAGGCTGTGCCGTACCCAGTTGAAAAATTGGTGCCGTACGCAGTTGAAAAGAGGGTCCCGTACCCAGTTAAATACGAGGTTCCCGTCAAGGTGCCAGTTCCCGTAGAAGTCAAGGTTCCGGTAAATGTGGACAGGCCAGTGCCATACCCAGTAGAAAAGAGGGTGCCATACCCAGTTCAAGTTCCGGTTGAAGTTAAGGTTCCAGTCCCAGTCTCTGCGCCAGCCCAACGTTTCGCCACCGTCCACTACTACCAACAATCTCCAGTTGGTTTTGGATACGAATCCGCCCAAGGTTTTGCTGGCCAATCCAGCTACAAAGCATTCGGTGGTCAATCTTTTGACGGTGTCCCAAACATTTACTACAACACACCCTCAAACGCAGTGATCCTCAACAACCAAAACTTGAAAACTCCTGAACAGTTGGCTGTTACCGGCAGCAAAGTCACATACAGTGCAGGTGGATTTGCACCAGCTTCTGGCAGTGCATTCTACAGCAGCACCTCTGGCCCAGCTAGCTTCTACAGCTCTACTCCATCAAGCGTATTCAGCTCTACCGCTAGCCCAATCTCCTCATACAGCTCAACTGTCAGCCCCTCTGGATTTTTCGGCTCGAACTTCGCCCAAGACGGTTTTGTTAGCTCTTCAGCTGCTCCGTTCAGCTTCGGTCAACAATCCTTCTACGGATCTTCGACTCCAGCTCCATTCAACTCTTTCTTCGGATCTTCAACCCCAGCTCCATTCAACTCTTTCTCTGCCGGTTCAGCTTCAGCTGATTCGTCTTCCTTTGGACAAGAATCAGTTTCTATCGGAGCCAAGGCTCAAGAAAAAGTAGAATCCAAAACTGAAGAGAACAGTGTAAAGAAATAGATTAAAATGAAGTCTCAGATTTAACAGCAACGGAATTTTCTCTCTTTTTTTTTAAAGCTACTAATAGCAATAATGTCATTTTTAATATTTTTGAAAAATGATTATTATTTATTAGTAATTAAAATACATTTGTAAAGTATAAGTATTCATTTTAAAAATATTAAATTAAAAAAAAAAAATAATAATGAACATTAAATACAATGTTTTTTTTTATTATTATTATTATTATTATTCCATATTGTATCATCGTTTCTGGTACAATATAGTTGGGGGAAAAGAAAATGGGTAGAGCGTATAATAAAGAAACGGTTCAAAGAGAGAGGAAAATGGTCTTCTGAATACCACCGGAAGACTGTCGCATAGAAATGTACACGGATTGGTTACAATCATATTATGGAGGGGAATTTTCAAACAATATTTTTGATATATTAAGAAAACCAGCATAAAATATATCATAGTCTGAATGTGCATCAAACATAATTAGACGTTTGTGGAAAGTAAATTTTTTCATACACAGTTTTGGTTCGCGATAAAGTAAGTATTGCTTCGATAATGTTTTTTTACAATCCAACTTGAAAAATATACTGTGATAAAATACAATTCTATTTATTGCAATACTTTATTCAAAACCAACGTGAATAATCAGTCGTTCAATGGAAGTAAGTACACTTAATACTAATGTTTTTTATGAATACTTTTTAATAAATAATTTTTTCAACTTTACTTTTGTTTTTTAATTGACATGACATTTAATTTTATAATGTATATAATATTTTAATAAATATTTTTTTTAAAATTTTACATCAAATTAATAAAATAAATTCTATAAAGAAAACTAGAATCACTATAAATAATAGCATAAATAATACGTTAGAATAAGTTAAAATAACATGTGTATATAAAATATACACTTTTTTACTGTATGAGTAACATTCAAAATTCAAATTGAGTATTGATTTATAGAAATAATGTGGTAGTTAAAATTTACTATACATGATAAATACCATAAATAAAAATTTTAATTTTCAATTCTAATATCATTACTCCTATTTGTATTTAGAATAAATAACTTGATCATCTGCACCAAACATTTTAAACAAAATAAATATAAAAAAAAGAATCTTCCACGACTAACTAAAAAATCCGAGTGCTAAAATGTGTTAATTTTAATGGGTACACGTAAAAATAAAAAAAATAATTTCTAAATGAACAATTAACTATAAAATGAATCATATAGAAAAAATTCAAAATTAACGAAATTGTTATAAGAAATATATATTCAGTCAAAAAAGAAAATTTTAAATTAATGGATGTTTATAAAAATTACTTTAAAGTTTAAAACCTAGACGAATTTTATTCAAAATAAAACAGTTTATATGTAATTGATATAATTATATATTTTCAATATATCAAAATGTAAATCAAATTATGTTAAAATATTAACTTTATTTTAATTTAAAACTACTTGATAACTGAAATTCCTTAAAGCTCATGAAATAACTACCTATTTAAAAGTGTTCTAATTTAATTCAGTTCTTCAATTTTATTTTAGTTAAAAATGTATTTTTAAAAATATAAGTTTTATAAAATATATTATAAAAAAAATAAAGATAACATTCGAATATAATATTTTATATAAATATTTAACATATTTTTTTTCACTCGTTCTTAAGTAAGATAAACATAATTTTTAATGATATATAATACTATAACATAGTATCAATCAATTGTAAAACAAAAATAATGGCAAATAAAAAACTATTAAACGTAAACAATTATATTATATTTGTTTTCACTTAATATAGTTGTTATACGAAGTATACGAAATATCAAATGAAATTCCAAAAGGTTGTAAAATAATTTAGAACTTTAAGATAATAATCGATAAATTAATTCGTACCAATAATAAATGCCATAATTAATATATAATATTTTAGAAAACTTCACATTTTAAACCAATAATACATATGACTAATATTATCATTTTTACTTATATAATTATTTATTCTTTATTTATCAAGGAATAATTTATAATCAATTCCACTGAGAAAGCTCATGATGAATTTATTTTTCTACGAAATACATTAAGAAAATCCAACCAGGGCTAAACTTAAAATTAAATTTTTTTTTTAACCAGAACTATATATTTCATACAATAAATCAACATTTCTGAAACGAGTTGAGATTTTAGTAAGGTACAACTAAATGATTAAATCTTTTCGATTTCTAAGACATATTTTGTACAAAATAATAAAAATACCGACGTAGCAATCCATGTTATGTTCCACAAATAATCATTTCACTATGGTGTTTGCGGTTGCACGCGACGTCTTTGATGACACTAATAGTATAATAACTGTGTGTAGTTACGCTTACGAGTATATTACTGGTGTGCGTGAAATTGGGTGCACATGTTTCATTATAATATAGTTTGAATTTCTATGGGTTGACGAAAATGAAAACATTGTACGCACAGTTTTACGAAAATCAACTACTAAATTAATCCGTGATTTTCGTTCGCAGAAACAAAAATGGTTATTTTTAACGTTGCTACTGACTCACGCGTTAGCTGAACACAACAAGCCACCCGACGAAAAACAGATCGACTCCGTGGAAGAATCGACCGAATCAAAAAAAACAGAGAAAAGAGGCTTAAGCAATGCGTTAGGATACGGCCAAAAAACCAATTCACACTCGTCGCCAGACAATTCTGATTATTTGGGTCATTCGTTTGGAAACGCCAATGGTCGAAATGGAAACGAGGGGCACAGTGAAAATCCATTGGCCAACCACGCAAACCATAACAACGGTTACGGTTTTAACCATTTCTTCTTCAACAGAGGCGTTCAAGGTAATGGCAGAAACGCTGGTTCGGGTAATCACGGATTCCAAGGAGCGAAGAATGCCAATAACCATGGCTGGATGGCCAGTTTTTTTAACCAAGAAGGGAAAAACGATTTTTCCGGTGGAGGAGGTTTTTTCGGTCACAGTAACGGTGTTGATGCCGAACATAACGCCTATTACGGTTCACCTCAAGCGTTCCAAATCTACGGAGGTGACGGCGATTTCAGAGATGGCGGAGGGAACGATGACGCACACGGGACATCCAACAACGAAGGAGGCTACGGCGGAGGCAACGCTGGTGGTCACGGAGGAGGTGATCATGGGGGAGACGGTGGTTTCGGAGAAGGCAGTCACGGAGGAGGAAATTATAACGGTGGCGGCCACGGAGGAGGCGGCCACGGAGAAGGAGGCCACGGAGGAGGCGGCCACGGAGGAACCGGCCACGGAGGAGGCGGCCACGGAGGAGGCGGTTACGGAGGAGGCGGCCACGGAGGAGGCGGCCACGGAGGAGACGGCTACGGAGGAGGAGGCTACGGAGGAGGAGGCTACGGAGGAGGCGGCCACGGAGGAGACGGCTACGGAGGAGGTTACGGTGGAAACGGCCACGAAGGAGGCGGTTACGGAGGAGGATTCGGCGGACACGTCAAGACCGTATACGTGACGAAGGAAGTGCCCGTGCCGTATCCGGTGCACGTGGAGAAAAAAGTCCTGTACCCCGTCCGGGTACCCTACGAAAAGCCCGTGCCGTATCCGGTCCACAAGCCGTATCCGGTGCACATCGAGAAACAGGTGCCGATCCCGGTGCGCATACACGTACCACAACCGTATCCGGTGACGGTCGAGAAGCACGTACCGTTCCCGGTCAAAGTGAACGTGGACAGGCCGGTGGCGGTGCACGTGCCGAAACCGTATCCGGTTTACATCGAGAAAAAAGTGCCGGTGGCCGTCAATCACCCGGTCCCGTACCCCGTGAAGATACCGATTGATCGGCCCGTGCCCGTGCACATACCGATCGACAAGCCGTATCCCTACCCGGTGGAGAGGAAGGTACCGTACCCGATTAAAGTGCCGGTGGACAGGCCGTATCCGGTGCACGTACCTAAACCGTACCCGGTGCACGTGGATCGGCCGGTGCCGTACCCGGTCAAGGTTCCGGTAAAAGTGCCGGTCAAGGTGCCCGTACCGTACCCGGTGGAAGTCAAAGTTCCCGTCCACATACCAGTGCACACGCAATCCCACCACGGTTACGGTAACGAGCATTCGACGAAGAACAGCGACGCATACCGGCAAGGATCTGTCCAGGAAAGTTCGGGAATTGACACTGCGGGATACGGCACTGCGTTCGTGAACAATTACGAGAACGCCTTAACCGCGATCGGGGGCCAGGACCAAGGGACGCCGGACGCCTACGGAGGCAACGAAGATTACGGGACCCGCGGGTGACCGCCTTCGATTTTTACCAAATAGTAAGTGATTCGTTGCCATTTATCGAGCTCGTCGTGATCGGCACCAATAATCAAGTAGATTTTACTGTACCTTTATCCGTCCGACACGATACGCGTCGCTCGATCGTAATATTATGCTGTCGTAATAATATCCGTAAAACTTAAACGGACATTACCGTGTCTTATCGTAGTCGTAGCCGTAGAATTAGAATAGTTTGCTAGATAGTCAGTGCACTCTTCGACATCAACATTAACGTTGACTCCTTTAATCGATATATAAATCTCGTACCCGGTGCGAAATGTTTTGTTGTACACGAAAACGTGATACATCGGAATAAAATGGAAAAATTTAAAACATCGAACAGACAGAGAGTGTGACACAACGGTCGTGGATGTCATTCGGTCCATTCCGGCATGTGAAATGAGCTCATTATTTATTTACCGATCCGCACACGCCATCCCGCGTATCCGTGTTTTCCTCGTAGTGCCGGGTCGCGGAAAATGCAAAAGCAATTACCGATTATTTCGGTCGTTATAAAATGTTCGAAAACTGAAATGAATTCCGCTTTCGTTTCCCGTTCGGGTATGCCGCGCGCGTGTACACGTCATTTATTGTAACAATAACAACAACAACAACGACGACGACGACGACATACCGCATTACAGGAGAAGAAACCGAAACCGTTTGCGGATTGTGCGTGGCCCCTCCCTTGTGTCATGTACATAAAATTCATAAAACGAACATAACAATAATAATAATGAACCTGCGAAACGACGAAATCGTATTGGATATGTTGACAAAAATACACACAGTTCCATTAGATATTTGTCATTTTGTACGCAGTTACTGTACAATATTATTTACCTATTATACTGTTAAGTCGTATTATTACTATGAAATTATCCTATTGGACGACGGGCGTAATATATTGTCACGCGCCGTCCGTCGGTGAAACTGTTCCGTGAAAATGTAAAAACGAAGGTACTTTATTATGTACCTGTGACTGTGACCGTTTACACCCATTAACCGTGCAGATATGTACATATCGTGTACTTACCCGATGTACGGGATGTTGGCCGGTACGTGATATTTAGATCCTGGATCGAAATCGGTTTCGGATCTGAGCACAGGAGGCTTCACTCCGCCAAGACGCTCTCTGAGTTACATGAAAAATTAAAAAAAAAAAAAAAAAAAAAAACGCTGTAAAATCGTAATTTTGAATCGAATTCAAACATAAAAACAATTTTAAAATAGAACGTGAGATGAAAAATCCTTAAGACACGAGTACATTAATAATTTATGAAATCCGTACACTTGTTGCGGTATCGACGATAATCCCCCGGAGTATAAATATAAGTTTTTTTCGTTCTGTTTGAGACTAGGTATACTAAATCGTAAGAATCGTTTCGAGCTCTGGACAGACATCCACGCGTCATCTTACTTATGTTAGTTATTACATTTGTACATTGTCGCAGGATTTATGAAATTTAAATGATCACTTGTAGACGTAAACAAGATTTATCCGCCATATGTATAGAGTCCTGATTTCTTATCACTTTGACAGTGATAACATTTAATCTGTGGAGATTGTGTTGAAAACATTGAACGTACTTCACAGTTTTGATGCATATTGTGTTCATTAAACCGCATAATGTATGAAATGAACACAATGTTGGAACTCCACAACAATGGCCGAATGATTTTTGAACTTCCCTATGTTATCAGTTATCAGTGTAAAATCTTATCAGTGGCCATTCTGATTTCATAAATTCTGCGATATTATCGATCACAGAGTACACTTAACCTATCTCATATCCAACGTTTACCATTAAAGATTTACCTATACATATTTAGTGCAATTGAGTTCAACTTCTGACTACGTAAATTTAGTGATAAGTAAAAACAAAGTATGTACATCAATGAACAAAGTAGTATTGTTTTAGCAAATTATTTGTACAGACATTATTGTAATACTTTACCAATATCAATAATTAATTAAGTATGAAATTTACTCGTAGCAATAATACTAATAATATGTTATTAATACATCGCATATCATTGTTGTTATTTTATTATTATTTTTTTTTTTCACTCATTCTTAAATAACATCATAATAACATCATTTTTTAACGATATGTTTTACAATATTAAAACCTAGTACTTACCAATAAATTATAAAAGAAAGTTAATGGCAAATAACTGTGAAATTTTATATGTAATCTATGTGTAGGATATATGAATGTTTAATAATAACAATAAATTATTGTCCATAATTTTTAAATGTGATATTATATGTAAACCTATTCAGTTAGGAATATTTGTTATTTTAATTATCAATGGGCAATTTTATCCAAGGTTGGGCCGAATAAATTTAAAACGAACTATTCGAATAGAAACTCCTGTACTAGATGAATTTAATTCGACTCAAACAATGACTCATGAGGTTTATGTGAGGTGTAAATAATTTAGGAAGTGATTACAGAACATTTTTTATTTGAAAAACCTTGATCATTAAACTTTCGGCCACTCCTATTGAAGTATTAGTAATGCATTATTTAATTATTTACTACTTTGTGGTTGAAGTTAATATTTATATCGAGATTATATAATCGATTTGTTTTAAGAAGTATTATGACTACTAACCGTAGCTAATATCGCAATTGACTTATACAATGGAGATTCAATTGTATATACATTTTTTTTTTTTTTATGATTGTCAGAGATGAATTACAGCATTTCACTACTTAAGAGCTTAATTGTGTGCAGAGAGAATGAACAATTTTAGTTTACAACTGAGACAAATGATTTAATATTATTTAAATAATTCATTTATGATAAAACCATGTCACCATATCATCAGCATGTTTCCTATTGTCATTTGTTTAATGTTAAACCTAGGCATTGGTATATCGATAGTAATAATAATGGTTTTCCTATGATTACTGATTGATTTCAAATAAAACGGCGGATTGTCTGTCTACACCGTTTCCACAAAATTAGTGTTCATCATTTTTATGAATTGTTATTATAATACTGCTCATTACAAATGCGTAAAATGTGTATATCAAAGGTACTCACTCATCTTGAAAAATACATTTATTATTGTACATTTATTTATCACACAACTGTTTCTATACATCAGCTGATTTCACTGACAATACACATGTAAACTGAGTAATTAATCGTACCGTTACATATTAACATAAAAACACCAATTACACTAAATCATTACTAAGCGCAAAATCAGCAACAAAGCAAACAAAGCACGATAATTTGTCGACGACAATAATAATAAAAATATTCGAAACGTAAATTACCGTAAGTCCCACCAGTGACAATTATATCTTTCCTTGTGCGTTGTCCCTTTAAATATATCCCAGCGCCACAAGTCAAGGGCCAAGCTGAACGGTAAGAACGTGAGCTTATCCATAGCCAATCCGAAGAGATAATTGATGTTGTGGGGGATGTCATCGACGGAGTTCAGTATCAATCCCAATGTTTGCAAATGTTTAGGCGTCGATACGGAGAGCGATATTGCTTCGCTTATGGCCTCGTGGAAACCTTAGAAATCACAAAAGTTAAGTGATATCCCTTTAGAAACCAAATCAATTCGAATCCTACCTGGATTAGCACCATCGCGATACACTTTCGGCTGTTTTTTATAATTCAAAAAGTATTGTACGTGAGCCATTTCATGGTGAACAGTTATGAAGTCTTTCATATTGACTTGAGTACACATTTTGATTCTGAAAATATATCAAATCGTGATACTGCAGATACAAGAGTAAAATCAAAGTAAGTTTCGTTACAAGTAATTTTTAATGATTTATTAAAAAAATATTTTGAAACAACAATATGTTAACTATTTGAAATTTTTAAATCTTTTTCCTTGTACCAAACGAATATTTTAAAAACATTTTAAACGATTATTTTTAAATTTGATATTAACCTTTAAACAGACGTGTGGGGATCTAGCATACCCCACATAAAACAAAACGTATGTATTATGTATCATAAAAGGTAATATAATTTTTAGTAATGCACATAGTTTTGTATTTATTTTTATTTGAATTTGTATTATTAAATTTTTAATCATATTCATATATCATATGGTAACCCATTATGAATTTAAATTAAAAAAAAAAATGAACTTTCTATAGGTACATATATTACACATTTTTAAAAATGGGTCTGATAGACTCTCAAGCGACTATAAACATTAAAAATAGGCACGCGCCTACTTAAGAGTAAAACTTTAAACATTTTATCGGATTTTTGTTACAATGATTATTATAATGCTATATTAAAACAGTATACAAATACATTTATACAAAGTCTTATGTAATTGATTAATTGGTAAATACAGATCTGTAGTATTCGCTGAATTTCTATTTAAAATGTTTCCATCCTCAAACTTGATTATTTTATTAATTTTTCAGAACCTCTTTTTGTATACCATTCCATTTGACTTCCTCTGTTACGACCTACATGAATATATGACGGACACCGTGCACGATATCTGCACGAATAATTACCTATAGTCCTGTCGATTGCAAAAATCCCAAGCTGAAGGTTGACATATGATAGGTTGACCCGGAAGTTCTTCGGTCACAGAATTGGCCCAAAAAGATTGAGGCATTGAACTCATGTTCAACGATATGAAAAACTCTTCGGCCACTCTAAACATTGCAGCTGGCGTGTACCCCTGTGTAAGCGTTACAAGTTAATTGTACGGAAACTTTCCTCTTACTATTTTCCATCCATGACGAAAAATGTATACCTGTTTAATCATTTGTGGCGTGACGTCCAAATAGTTCTTTCCGGGATACGGTATAGTGAGGTCTAATATGTTTTCCCATGACTGGCCCCACATGTTCCCTGAAATCAATAGAACAGCAATCAAAACACAAATACAAAATCAAAAGGATTATTCCTTCGAAATATGACCACAACCTAAGACGTGAGCAGGCAATGGCGCTTCTCGGCTTATTCTTTCGGGTCCGTAGAGGTCACGTAACTTCTTTCTGACGTAGGCATGGAGCTGTTCGTACAGCGGTTTTATTTGTTCCCAAGCGTCTTCTAATTCGAACCGCAGCGAAGGCGACTCGTACGGGAACTTCCACATTTCAGATGCGTCGGACACGTCTAGAAAACATAAGTTGTATGCTCGTTATTGATACAGTCGACCATCGGAGAAATAATGACATTAATATGACATACTGTTCAATAAAGCTGCTTGATTGCTAACGTCTACTAACTGCTCGAACATGTCTCTGACTTTTTGTCCTGTTCTCCGTCTCCACTCAATCCAAGTGTGTTGAAGTTCGTTCCAATCACGGCTCCGAGACATTATTATGTTCAAGTCTAGAATATCAAATAATATTTGTGTTTCTTCTTTTTTTTTTTTTTTCTATAAGCGATTATATCTTAATGTCATCTAAACTACCTCAGAAAAATGTATTTCGTGAACGTACCTGGATCTAACCTGAGACCACATTTCAACGGTTCGTCAAAAGCGCAAATAGAAGCGCTATTATAAACAGCCAACATGTCATTAATAAGCCGGTTGTACTGAAAAAGAAAAAATTATCGTTATTATAAGTGGTTCGTACAATTATGGTTTTATGTTTCGAAACAACTGCTAAAGCGAAAAATTATGTAAATATGCGCAATTCACTACTGTCACGAGTTACAGAAGAAAAAACATATCGCTTGTTTTTTACAAAAACTTAGACCAATAGGAAAATGATAAAATGGACGAGTAGTTTTTTTTTTCGGTACAAGTTCATTCAACTCAGTGAAAATTACGCATTTAAGTACGTCGTTTAAATGTGCTGTATATAATTGCAACTCTCACTCGACTCAGCTGGTCTTGAGGCAGTGCAGCAGGTCCGGGCATAGACAAATACTTAAGCTGTCGTCTCAGATTAGGATCGATGACGTTTTCCAGATTCAATCTGTTTATGATGGAGAAAACTTTGCGCTGGAATTCGGAATACAGCAACTGTTGTTCCAACTGTAACATTTTGAAAACAAAATTATTGATTAACGGGATGTGTATGAACAATAATACGTAATATGTTTAGTGGCGTGTCCATGAGAAATATAAGTATTGCCACACTACTCTGTACTACATGTCTACCTGCGTCATATGGATACGATTAACATAAATTAGTTCCCAGTGGTCTAGGTTTCAAATAAATTTTAAATTGTTTTATTTGATATTATTTCAGCAACATACTACGTTCGAAGAACCAATTTCCAATACAGGTATCATCGTCTGTCCATCTGAATATTGTATAATAAGGTGTCAATAATTTGAAAATAAGAAAAGCAATGGGTCATGCTAGTAAATTGCATATACAAAACGCCTTGTTACAGACAAACGCGTAGCGAAACAAATTTGTAAATAATAATACAACAGAAATGTGTAGTTCGATTTGAAATCAAAATAATGTTAGAATTAAAATCGTCTAAATTTCAATTAACTAATAAGGTTTTCTGTTATTTTAATTAGGTCGTTTCAAATTCTAATAAAACGATCAAAACACATAAACATTATTTTCTATAATATTTTAACATTTTAAACATAAATCATATTGCAAATCAAAATTATTTTCATTGTTTTTATAGAGTCAGAAGGACTTTTACTCAGAGAATTGTATTTGTTTATAATCAGATATAAATCATTGTTTAATTTTTAGATAATTATAATGTTGGCATCGTTCATTATTTAGTATCAGATAATTACTTGTTGTATTTTAATTCATACAAGTTTCAAACGTTAAATTTTCTAAACACAATCATAATAATACTATACAAGTTTAATCTTATGTGGATAAAAACTAACTTTCAAGTTCAATAAATCATTTAAAACACTTCAAAAGTCGTTGGGAATCAACAGCCACGAGGTATAAGGTAAATATCGTAAAATTTACCGTGTAGCTTTAATAAAGTCGATAACAGTGTTATGTTTTCGTCATAATATAATATAATGCTTTTTCTTACTTGAATTTTATAAATATTTATATGGAGTGTAGATTTGACAGACGCTATTTAGAGAAAAGTATGACTTGACCAGTACTTCTAAACGTACCAGGTTTTTATATGAACGTAATATTACTCTAAAATATGTATTAAGTACAACGAAACACTTTGTTTACAGTAATATATATATATATATATATATATACATGTACACATTAATGGTATATACCTGCGATGTGGTAAGCGATACGCAACCATCCGGTCGGTGCGGGAACACCACGTCACTCGTGAGTCTAAACACGAATCGCATATCATCAAGGCTAGCCGCACGGGGTTCCCGTGCAATTTCGGTTGAGATTCACATACTCGTAACCTTTGGTCTCACGCTTACGGGATGAACAATGCGCTGCTGATAAAACGGAATAACGTTTTCGAATTGTTGCGTAACGGACGCTGCCATGTGCTAACCGGATTTTGTAATCCCATGCACGCGTAATGATTCGAGAATGATACGGGAAGGGATAGGCGAGTAAGCGAGAAAAAAAAAAGTAGGCACATATCGTTACAATGTGTCGTTTTATCATTTTTTTTCCCTTTATTATTTACGCGACGTGCTGGTGTACCTACGCGCACGGCGTAATCTCTGCGCGAAAAGAAACAAGGAAGCGTAAATATTCGACTGACTGCCGAACGAAAAATAAAAATAATTTTAATAAAAAAAAAAATAATAATAATAATGAAAACCTATAATAGTAGTCGCACATGCCGGAGACTTCTGCGGTCGTTTATTATAGTTGTCGGAGATCAAAGCGCTTGGTCACGACTAACCTCAAGCCGTAAAAAAGGTTCAAAAAAAAAAAAAAAAAAATCCTTATAACGAAACGCACCCGTGTATAGTGCGTATAATATTGTAATAAAGTGTCGGATATATTTATTTTTTTCTCTCCTATTATGTTTGACGTGTCGAAGGACTCTCCGGAGTCCAATTAGAAAACAATGTCACCCTTATGATAATAATGATAACAATAACAAAGTGTAAAGCGAATGGGGGGGGGGGGAAATGCCGATCAAAGTTACGAACAGCGTTACCGTGCAATGGTGTTGTAGCGTCCGAATACGTACACCGACGTAGCATTACGTGAAAAATATAATATCGTTTGGAACTACGTGGAAAAAACAAAAAAAAAAAAACCGAAAAAAAAAAACGCTACACCTGTATATGATATTATATACATATATATATATATGTATATCGTTTCTTCTATTATGTTCAACTGCGGTCGCGCAACAATGTCAAGGTTGTGCTCGCGTTAGTCATGCTCGTCCGTCCGACTGAACAAAATCGTCCGGTCGTTGCGCGAACGTTTTTCGAACGGTCGCGCCAAAAGCTAGAGCGCGCGTTGCCGCGAAAACGAAACGGTGTGAAATCGCCGTAACACCGCAGGACGTGACCATGTGCCCGCGTCGACCTTCCTGTCTCGCGTCCGGCCGGGCAGAACCCGATTCGTTTTATTGCCAACAACCTTTTCGTACCTAACTATAACGTGCAATATATGTATACGCAAGTTCCAGGGACTGTGGCGGAAGCACAGAAGTCTTTCGGTTGCTTGGCAAGTTTACCGAAGACGCGGCAAACGTCCACAACGAGTCAAGAACGATGAAACTCACTTGCTCTTCTGTACACGGAGAACGCATTGGCTTCGACAGTACATTTCGATGACATGATAACTGAGTTTGTTGAGCTCAAAGCCCGTAGAATAAAATTTTAACTTAATAAATAATAATAAAAATATAGTAAATATAAACTAATGAATACTTGTTTTTTTTTTTCATTTAGATAATATTTCGATAAAAATTAAAAAAGACATTAATACTGTTAAAATGTTTACGAATCTTGATTTTTTTTTTTTTTTATAATTAATGGTAAATTGTATTATTGGAAGTTTTGTAAAGGGCCCGGAAAAACATTTAGTATAAGGGCCCAGAATTTGATGTGGAAGCCCTGCGTACGTATATAAAACCGCATCGTGATCGCGCGGGCTCGGCGAAAATTCGAATAAAGTTTTCGATCGGATCGACGATCACGCGGCAGTAGCTTCGTACCTGTATGTATTAACCGCGTCCTCCGATCGTCCGTTAACGTCGGTTAGCCGACGTGATCGACAGTGTTTCTTAGAGAGAGAGAGAAAAAATCCAAAACCGTAAACGGACTTCGTCAAAAGTCCCGGACGTCTAACTTCGTGCGACTCGACGACGATCCGAAAGACACGTATGAGAATAATGATCGTAGCGATTCCTACGGGGCCTCGGGTTCGCGATTTCCCTTGAGGGCGTCGAAGAAAATTCTTGAGGGCATCCAAGAGAAAATTCGGATTCACTTATTTATTACTGTGTTTTTTCTTTAATATCGTCCTAAATATTTTATGTACCTAAATCATAAAAGCTTTGCGGCGTAACAGAAATTTTTCGTAACAACAGCGGGAAAATATGATCCGTAACGATTGTTCAAATTTTTACTTTTCACGTTAATATTTTTTTTCATTTTTTTTTTTTTTTTTTTTGTATAACGAATTATTGATGTTGAGCTTAACAATTACAATGAATTACAAATTTGGAAACATCCAATGTATGTCGCTCGTTTTTGAGACTTCAATGGAAGTGAACGTAAAATAAAAATAACAATTTCAGTTGAGCTAAATGTTTAATCCAATTATTGGACACGCTATACGGTCAAAATTATGATTATATTTCAAACGTTTTCGAGTAAAACATTTACGTAAATATGCGTTATTTTTTTTTTTTTTTTTTTTTTTAATTACCTTAAAAATGTTAACAATGAAGTAGAATATTTATCAATAATTTTCTTTTGGTCTTTTTTGCAAAAATTGTGAATAATTTAAGCGGGTTTAATTATAAGAATAAAATAATACTAATCAATTCTAAATGCTTATAAGTACTATCCATATTTAGTCCAATATAATATAATAGTGACATCTTAATTAACATAATATCATTATAACGTTTTAACTGTATACGATTATAATTTGAAACTTGTCAAGGCGCACCCTGTTGATTTTCATTACTTTTACTTTTAAGCTAATGTTTTTCGGTGTAGCAACATTTCTATTATAGTCTTACCCAGCTTATATATTAATCGGAAACCGAGTGCTGGACATTGTATTTCAGAAAGGTCGTATTTTCGTATTCTCCTAATACCAACCTACCTATATCTAGTTTAAAATCAATTATCAAGTGTGGTATACCACAAACTGTGATTGACACGTTTCAATTGAAACAATATAACTCTATTGTGTATTTTACACTAAAACGAATGAAGCGAGACGATATCCAAATTCTGGCATCACGTACTATTATGATCAATAATATTATTATTATAAAAATACATTTTAAGATAATACTGTTTATTTACTAAATTTTGTTTTAAAATATTTAAATTTACTGTACTCATTAAATTATATATACAACCATTTATAGTACGATTTTCAGTAGTGGAAAATCACTAGACAATATATGTACATATAAATAATTTACTCTCATTTATATTCTAAAAAAACCAAAAGTTAAACGCACCAAAGATTATCCAAAAACCTAAAACGAAAATGTTTTAAATGAACATCTAAAACTCTGACGTAGTGTTGTAACTCATTTTTTTAATAATATACAAGTGTATATATAAGTACCTATCTAATAAAAATAAAATATTCAAGAATCTCAATTTCTCCTTTAGTAAGCAATACTAAATTGATTCTCTTCACTATGACTATATAATAGTCGATAACTCCGAGATCACTATAATCAGTTATAGAAATAATAACTTTAACTAATCAATTAGTCAATAAAAATTTAACAATTTGAATGTGTTCGTAACGAAAGTAAAAATGCATTTGTCTCTTTAACCATTTCTAAAATAATTATACATACAGTACATTATTCAAACCTTAATTATTGTATAATCATTAATATTTATGCGTAACCATTAAAAAAATAATAAAAAAATTACAAAAAAAATATTTTTTAGTATTTATTTCTACCGAGCATTAAATTTAATAAGGTCCTTAGACTAGTCTTTAAATTCAAAGAAATATTCATGGTCAGCTAAAGTTACACACGCATTTATTGTTGACTAACTAATTTTTGAAATTAATTAATTATCGTCGGTGTATTATTTTCTAGAAGCATTTACGTAGCTTTGCCACATAACCTACTATTTGAAACTAAACATTTCGTGATTACCGTTCACTTAAAACATTAATCAAAATCGAGAATTTAAAAATGAAATAAACATTTATGTTTTCAAATACTACAACTATGTATACCATTAAATCTTGTAAATTTATTCGAAGGTGCAGTGTACTCGTATATGAGAAAAACTAGTAAAATAAAATTATTCAAAAACGTTTTTACAATTGTATCAACACGTACATTTATCAAATATTTTCTCTACGTCAACAGAATACTGATTAGTGTTATTACAGTTTTTATGTGTTTACTAGTTTTTTTATTCAAGTCCCAAGGCGACTAACTGAAAATAGTCAAATAAAAAGTTACAAAAATTCAAAATTAAATGAATAATACATACTTTTAATTTAAACGAAAGTTTCGATATCAAAATAATTTTTCAGTGTACTTATTTTAAATTTTGATGAGTGATTAAAATAAGATATTAAGTACTTCGTTACACACGCACAAAACTATTTTAAAGTAATTCGTGTATGGAAAACCCAATTTTATTTTACGATTGTGGTTTTATGAAATATATGCGTATATCCAAGTGTATATTTAAAAATGTATATAACTTAAATTTACTAATTTACAGGTAAATACAAAATATATGTAAATAAAATATTCGATTATATTTGTATACGTATTACTTGTTACCTATGTTTATATGTAAATAATAATACATTATTCAGATAAAATTGAATTATTGATTGATGACATTTTAGTTGACATTTCTATACTGATTCACTTTAAATTTACTTATTACTCTGTATAGATGCAATAAAAAAATAATTTCAAATTCGCACTTTTAGAATCAAAACAGTTTTGGGTTCTGAACTGGATGTGTAGATTTTTTTTTTTTTGCCTTGAAAATATTTTATTTTGTTTAATATGTTGTTTATAAACTATCAACTGAAGTTCATATAATTCAAAATAGTAATGACAAATAAAAATAAATGTCATTAAAATAACCGACAATTATGCGATTTTTCCATTCTAATACCATTTTTGACGTAAAAATAATAATTGCCCTAATCTAAAAGTGACTAATACATCCCGGAGAAGGCTGAGTTGTTCAGCTAGTATTTCATTAAGTGTAAAAATGTAGAGAAATATTTATGTATATAAAAAAAACAATAATCTTCGTACGTTTATTGCAACTGACCATATTTGTTTAAATTAAAAAATTATAATGAGGTACATAATAAAAAAAAAAATATTAAAATTAAAGAAAATAATTTTATTATTTTTAAAAGTATTAACGTTTGAAATGTAAAATCATTGGGGTTTAAATAAATGTCGTAAATTTATAAAAACAAATGGACTAGAATCATGTATATTTTTACTATCGACGTCTCAAAATCACATGCACGCTGTGGTTTCACTTTTCATGTAATATGAACATACAACAAATATTGTCATTCGGGCCAGTCACGTTCCCCAAGCGGAAAAGAGATAAAAATGTTAAACAGCGATTTAAACCAAACAAAGGATGTAGTTAATAATGATAAGAATAATTTAACGAATTTCGCCGTTTATACACAGACACGAGTTTGTTTACGTACCGCTCTTATTTGCGTCCCTTCGTTGACGTTCGTCTCGAAATCCCATTGCGCTTGAACGTTCAGATTGCACTGTTGCGATCCGGCCACGTCGAGCTGCTGCAACAGCTGTCTTATGTTGCTGTTGGACAGCGTCAACGGTCCCTGTTGCGAAGGCGAAGACAGCTGGGGGTCGGACCTGGACGTGAACCGGCCGGACGTGTCGAAGTTCTGGCCGGGTTCGTCCGTGGTGAATTTTCTGCCACCCCTTTGGAACCCTTGCTGTTGCTTCTGCTGCTGCTGCTGTTGCTGTTGCTGTTGTTGCTGCTGTTGAAATATCCCGTCGAAACCGATCTGCGGCTGCTGATCCTCTTGCTGTTGCCGCTGTATAGCGTACCTGCCCAAGCCACACGGTGTACCGAAACACGTATTATTAATGTATTATTATTACCATATAATTATTATCATCATATCGACATGAGCGTGATTTTGAATCACCGCAGACCATGGTTGGTCTTAAATACTAGTATAATATTTATACATTAGAAACCGAACGGTTTCTGAATGGATTATTCGTATATTTTGTTTTCTATTTTCATAATAGGTTTTTATTTTCGATTGTTAAATACTGACCACGATTTTTAACAAACATTTGATTTATAACAATTAGAATTACGTAAATCATAGCCGATCTAATGTGTATCGTGCCTGATCTATATCTAATCTACCCACTGCTGTAAGTATAATCATGTATATATCATTGATTAATTACATGTATTTGTCTTTTGAAATATATTAGTTCGTTTACCATAAGACAAATATCAACGCAATAACGGAATTTCGATTATTGTAGACGATTATCGTTTAAAATAAACAGTGGTAAATGACAAAAATCGCAATTATCAAGTATCGGGCTTAATAAAAACAGTATAGCAAATGCGATACTGTTCATCGCGTTTACATATGGAACTAATGGCTGTATACGCAATAGATTGGGTTAGAGGTCATTTAGACGAGAGAATTTCGTTCGTTTATTTCTGGTTCAGTTTTCTAAAAGATGTTTTAAAATGTATAAACACGATACGGGTCACCACGACAGCCCATTCAATATGTATCGTTATGCTATTTGATATTTTCCAAACATAAAGAAGTGCTTATAATAATTATTTATCAGATATTTTCGCTAATCGAGTTAGGACACGAAAACACGTAAATTCACAGTAATGAAAACCGTACCTGTTGAACGCGTCTTGAATACGACGGCGGTCTTGTTGATTTCCGCCGGCAAGGAAATAGTCGTTGGGATCTAAGTATTTGTTGTCCACGCGGTCGGTCTGGCATCGGACCGGCTTGGACGCGAACAGGACCGCGGCCGAAACGACGACCACCATCGTTAAGGCGTTCATTTTGCCCGCGGTAAAAAAAAAAAATAAAATCGTGTGTATTGATACGTGTACGCGTTTATTACCGGTATACTTATTTCCACAATAACTCCCTGGAACGGGTTGAAAAGAAGAAATACACACGATGATTATTTATTTTTTTTTTATAAAAAAAAAAAAAATAAAACAACATAAAAAAAGTTATGGCATTTGAAACGAGAAAATTCCTACGGCACAAACCAAAACGCGAGCACTGCGATGTTCGGACTGCGGAGAGACTAATAATGCTCGTTGCATATATGAGCCGACCTAATGAGTCGTATGTAGTGATAACAACGGCGACGACTAGGAGACTTGAACGCCGCCGCCGGGCTTCCTATTAATAATAATAATAATAATAATAACAACAGCCAGCGCAGGTGGGGAAACGATGCACACATAACGCTTCTCCTCCGCAGGACGGCGGCCGCAACGCGTGTCGAAAGCTCGCCTTGAACCGTATAACAGTCAACGAGATCTGCCAACAAGAAGTGGATATTTTTTTAGGTTTTTTTTTTCAACGCGTCTTTCAAAACATAATTACGAAAAAATATAGTTTTACGAGGAGCATTTTATGTATAGTGCATTCAAATGAATGAAAAAAAAAAACAATAAAAATTGGATTTTCGGAAACGATAATACAATATTGTATTGAAAACGTATTTATTTATATGTATATATATATATATTTTTTTTTTTTTGTTCATTTTGTCAATAGCCACCGTGATATTATCGATCAATTAGTTTGTCCGTCACATATGTTCTATGCGAATAATAAACAGGTACCTCTTGACTCATGTTTCCTGATTTATGAAGACGTGTGGATTTAGTCTAATATAGACGCTATATCATTTGCCCCCAGCGCGTGTTACAATGCAGCTATCGATAATAGTCATTTGTATCGTAACACATCCGCCTTCTTACCATCCAGTTGAAGTGGCGAAAATTAAAATTATCAAGGCATTGATATCCATATTATACACATTACGGTGTAATGCATTACAAAATTTCTGGTGTATGAACTCCAATAACGTCATTAGTTCAAAATTATATCGAGCAGTACTCGAAAAAATATATTGTACCAAGTCGATCTGTGGTTTTACCGTGTTTTTTAGTTATAAAAAAAAAAAACTCGATCATTGTGTACTGAATAATTTAGTAAAATAATATTTATAATATATATCGTTCAAGTAACTTAAATAAAATAATTATAACTATTATTTTTAAAATGGAAGGCAATACATTTTTCTACGGACGTTCTACTTACATTGTGAGATATTTTGTGCACAATTCGAAATAAAGAAAACATCGATGAAAAAAAAGAAGAATTTTAGATTTTGATGAATTAAGACTAATGTATGATCAACAAATACCGCGAAAATAGTATAGTGATCGGCTATTTAAGATTCTGCTAATGCTAAATAATACTACGACACGGTCATCATTATCCGAGAACAATAAATTAATAAATGAAAGAAAATATTTTTTATAGTTTAATCGTTATTAAATCACGAAAGAAATATATGCATAATCCAATTAATGGTATTTACATATTTATAATAAATATATTTTTTCAAAATATGTCGTATATGTTTGATCCCTATTTGTTATTTATGCATGATATACAAAATATTAAATTTGAAGCAAAATTAATTTCGATAACGTCTCGAAATCGTCCACCAAAATATCCAATCATAGCAGCCATTGTTCATATCCATATGTATTATTTATTGTGCGTAACAAGTAAATTAAGAACCGGATACCATTATGATGTACATTAATAATATTATACTAATATTGTAATATGATTAACTTTGATATGATACTAATATGCTCTTTTCTTCTATTTTTTAAACAATTATATAATGTTTTCAAAGAACGGTCTTAAATCTTACCGTGTACCTATAATTACACCGTAATAATAATAATAACACGTGCGATTAACCCCATAATGAGAATATGACGTTATTTTACCGGGACAAAGATTGCTTTGTCGTGTTCTTAAAATAATGGAACGATTAGAGTTACCCTAAACTATGAGTTGAGTACCTACGCGTAGCTCGCATACCTGGCGCGAACGGTATTGGAATATAAGTGATTCGATTTTCCTCGTTTAACGTTTTTATACCTACCATACGAACATCAACCATTATGTAATTATTTTATCGTTTGATGAATATTTATTACATCATAACGACGTATTTGTATCCGGACTTGAGCTGTATACTGAACACTTTTTGAGTATCACATGTCATTCGTCGGGAAAAATTAATAAATATTATTATTATGATCCTACGGGTAATTTTCTTATGCCTCAGCGGTGGATGTTCAATACATTGGTATATTTTTAAGATACACACGTCCCACCTCAAACTCGAATTGAACTTTGCGGCCGATTTCAGTTTTAAAATGAACTGTAAATTATTTTATTTCGACTTCTACCTGCTTGTAACAGACATATTGTTATGTGTACAGGGACATCTATGTACTGTACAGATAAACTTATTATGTGTGTCGTTAAATCAATATTTTTTTCTTAAAAAAAGTTAAATAAATAAACAGTAAATATTATAGTTAGAATTCGTTGAGCTTTGCGTATTTACAATACTACAGTGTCATAAATATATATAAATATAGTGTTTTTAACGTCGAAATGAAAAGATTTTGTCGTCGTCAGGTCCAGATGACCAATGAAAATATGACCGAATCGCAATAGTCGCTACAGCACTTGCAGCGCAGACTATAGTTATATCAAATGCGTAATAAGGTATTAAATAGATACGATTTTCCGGTAGTTCGGATTACCAACACTGATAGATCGCAGCCGAACGATAAGTATCAGGGGTGTATCCTATCGCGTTTTCCGTCTTCCAAACGTATAATTTTGTGTTGCTATTGTAATGCAGTGCGCGTAACCACAAGCAGCCGCCGTAAACCTATAATACGATATGCAAATGCTTGTCGATGGGTCACTGGAACGTTACCAAGTTGTTTGTCGCGGACGCGACCAGCAGTAGCAGAATAAACGTTTTGAAGAGAACCGATGATAACAGCAGTGATGTAAATTAGTTGCACTGTTGCGGTCGAGCAAATGCAGAAGACGAGCCGTGGCTGACTCTGACGAGGACGTAAAACGCGTTGATTTATGTCACAAGGCTACTTACTGAAATGACGAAAGTCGGAGCAATAATCGTAAGAAACGTACGAAAAAAATCAGAAAAATATACATAATACACACACGACGGTGGAATTATTTTTTTTTTTCTCCTATTTTTCTTAACGTTCACGTACGCGGGTTATGAACAGAAGGTCGCATCGTACCGCGTGTCGTCGACCAGGTGTGTGGGAACGTTTCGGACGATTGTTCGGGCGTAAGGACGCGTTTTGCACGAAGGTCTATGGAAACCGGACGGTTCTCATGATAAAAATATTACGCGATTGAAATGTGTTGTTCGCGGCGCAGTCAAATGCTGAATCACTAGCAGGAGCTTTTGTTCGGTAGCGCGATTATGGGAAAAACGACGCGACTCGATGTTCCGGAAACGGTGAAAGCAGCGAACATATGTGCGTGTAAAACGTTCGATAGAAAGCGACAAATATTGTACGAATACTATACTGCACAGGAGGAATGGTGACTACGGTGCTGGGAAAAATTATTTTTCTTCCTTTTTTTTTTTTTTATGTACCGAGAATTAGAGTTCGATAATATGACATGACGGGTTTTTCACTTGATTATCATTACTTTAAATGTGTCTACGTCTTGTGTTTGTAACGGTGAAATTGGACGACGAATGACGGACACAGCGAGTACAACCGCAGAAAAATAAATATTAACCTTTTAGCTACACGAAATTGTATTTGTTCGCTCACTGCTGGAGTTAAAGAAAAAAATTTCGATTACATCGTTTTTTAAATGGAAATCAAACATTTCAAAGCGTCGTGCATGAATATGCATCTATGATCTCGTGGATAATTAATATAATATAATATAATATATAGGTATATCAAATATTAGTGCGGAAGACTACCCTATTTGACACGAGATATTACAGGTTTTGGACCCACGTTTGCCACGTCACTGCACGTGTTTAGAAAAAAAAAAAATAACTCAACGTTTCATTAAAATAACAAATGAAAAAAACTGTTGAACGGTTAATAATGCTCGTAAACGATTACGTAAATACCTAGACAAACAAGAACTAGAGTATTTATCCATACTCCGAAATTTTAAACGAGTACGTTTAACCGTGTGATTTCAGAAACAAACGCACAATAACAATGATTTCTACGGTACCGGCCCTGATTTAATTTAGTCGCAGATATAAATGTACAATTTAAATCGATTTTTTCCACCTCCTGTAAGGCACAGGTGATCCGAAAGGATCGAAGGGCGCTACTGCGCGTGGTTCACACTCGTACGACGTGTTGTCGGACGATGGCCAAAAATCGCTGGAGCCGCGTTGAACGAAACGGTATATTATCGAACGTTGCACCGTTAAACCGTCACTGGAATTCGCGACGAACATTACGTTTCCAACGCTGCGACAGCGTTATGGTAATCTATGGTATATGGTAATCTAATAACGCGTGCGCTTGATTCGCACCGCACGCTAAACGTTCAACCGGGCGCTAATCGAAGCCCCTAACGTGCGTTCGAACACATTTTGCGCGGCTCTAATTCCAAAAATTCGCATTTGTGAATACTGTTCGTAAATGAAATTTCTCGCAACGTTCAATTGTAGTTATCGAGTTTATGGCCAGGAGTGCCGGTAAAGGGTCCGTCAATCATTAGATTAGGTTTATTAAGACTGTGTTATTACAATTATTATTATTTTATATATCACCGTATAATAGCACGACCGCAGCACAGGGAGTAATGATTGCGAAAGTATGGGGAGGGGGTCGAGTTCTGAGTTTTGCGCACTTGTAAAAAAAACCTCGAAATAAGCCCTGTGGTCGCCCACGGCGAATGCCTTCCCAGCAGCAGCGGCTAGCGCGGAACACGGTGTGCACCGCGACGTGTTTTTTTCACGTCCTTTAACCCGTTCCTTCCCCGCACTACTCGACGAGCACCTTTGACTCGACCGGTTCCTACGCCACTCGTACACTGGTCGATCAACGAAACGCGATCGTCAACGATTACTTCGACTCGTGGTCGTCGCATTCGCCGACGACCGATGGGAGTCCGCGAGCGAGTGACGACTAGACTCTGTCCCTCGTACACGGTGAAGCATCGCGGTCGACGGGATTGTTGTTCGCCGAGCACGCGATTCGTGCGGGACCGGATTTCCGCGCCGCGTGCC